GCAATGAAAATATCATATTCGGAATCAGCGTGTAAAACCGAGTCGAATGATATACTTTTTTATCTTCTTTGATCAGTTTAATTTTTGGATGAAAATCTCAGTTCTTCCTTCGACGTGAAAATTCAAAAAAAATTAAAGTGATCAAAGAAGATAAAAAAGTATATCATTCGACTCGGTTTTACACGCTGATTCCGAATATGATATTTTCATTGCGTGAAAGTTGGGTTCTAATTGAGAAAATCGCGAATTAGGGTCAGAATTTCGATGTCTCGCAGTAAGTCTACCTTTCTCCATGAGGAAAGAGCTTTTTTTAAAAAGCGACGCGTACTTTAGCGGGTACCTTACCCACAAGAAGAATATATACCAATTTAATAAAACAATTAATTAGTGAACAGACAACAAAAAGAACATTCGAAAGCAAGAATGAAAAGTATTACACACAGCTAGTCCTCAGAAAACCTTAGAACGTCCGAGACGTGTCAGATGGAACCTCGAGACCTGCGTAGTTTTGTAGAGCCAAGTCCGATTGTTCGAGCAACGGATGTCAAAATCCATCTTGTTTTCGGGGTACGGCGATCGTCTACTTTTTTACTCGACAGCTGCACCACTGGAAACCTTTTGGGAGAAGTTTATTTTACCATAGTGCGACGTTCTTCGGTGTCCTCTTTCAGAAACTGAAAGCCGCAAGTCTCTGCGACTTTCTGTTCAAACGAAATTCTAAAAACAACCTGAAACGCTTAGTACCTACTGTGAAATTTTCTAGGAGACATACTGTTTCTTAAATCAAAGTACAGAACCTCTTTTTCTTGTAGAGATAGTGCTCGTCGGTCTCTTGATTTGCGGAATAGTTTTAAGAGTTTGTTAAATGCTATGTACCATTTTTTAGCCATTAAGATTACTCTCGTATCGTCAACAAATATATATGTAACAGAATGTGAAGGAAAGATAAATGATTACCTCAACCGATGCATAGTTAAAAGAAGATTAGAAAATAAAGATGGCTTTAAAGACTGGAATCAACAAATGATAAATGCGTACTACAAATATTGTATGGAAAAATGTGTTTTGCCTCAAATAAATAATAATTCTTCAGTTGATTTAAGTGGATCGATCAATGGTGTTGATGAAGCTAAAGAAAAATATGATTTAATACTTGAATTATTAAGACAGAGAAGTCAAGAGCAACGTTTGACACAACACAAAACGCGATTAGAATCAGTAGTTCAAAGTAACAGTTCTGCTAAATGTTACAACATAATGTTAAGTTATGCTCCACAAGATAAAATTATATGTCATCGGTTAGTGGATCGTCTAACTACTGAAGGTTTTGCTGCAGCACTTGGACAGACCAATGACTCATTGTCACTAATTGACGGATCTGGCTGTGTTATTATTTATGTTAGTCAACATTATTTTAATACTGAATTGTGCGAACAGGAGACGAAAGACAAGCCGCAGAGATGTGCATTTTAGGTTTTGCACTTTTTTACAGGATAGTTCATATGAGTTCATCTTCAAACATCAAAGAATGCCGCTTTTTTCTCGTTTCAACTGACATATTTTTCTTTCTTTTTTCCTATGTGCATATAGAGACATAGAAAGTGAAAACGTGATAAAACTATAAATTTCATATTTTTACTCAGTTATTCTATGCTTATTAAAATCACTGATCACCATTCATTCTGTAAGTATAATATGGCTGTAAGCGAATAATGGCTTGCAAATAATTAGAAAAATTAATTAGAAAAACGTACTATGTGAAACATCCCATTTCGCAACTGTCGACACCTATCAACACCATCATTTAGGGATGAGAGTTTTAACACAGTCTGTTTAGATAACAATATTTAACATGTATACTTCCATTCAATTCAAGCGTACCCTGTAAAACAGTTTTTCTCCATAGCACAGTGGGCAGTTTTTGCTAGAGCAGGCGGACATGTAGTCTGAAGGCGATCCGAACCTCCACAACAAATTTTCCTTATAGGTTTCCGGGTGTACTATTTCTAAAAACGTGGTTTTCAAAGTTAAAAGATGATTTTTAAACAGTTTTCTGAAGATCCGGTCTCTGGAAATCCTCTTAAAAACCGTTTTGGAACTTCCTTTTTGGAATTAGTGTACACAAAAACCTACATGAAAATTTTTTATAGGCCCCTCGGCTGCTGCTAAGATGTATTTTTTTAAGCTAATTAAAAATTTTCATCGCTACGGCTTTTCACGGGCAGGATTTTGACAAAATTCAAATATATCGGCAGCAAATTTTTGACTCATACATCATTCGATTCAGTTTTTTATGTTGATTCCGAATATCACACTATTTCTTGAATAAAAATGTTTTTTGAGTGCGGAAAGGTCAGTTTACCTCAAAAACCGAGGGGTTTTGGAAAACCTCTCTAGAATTCCAGTTAAGGTTGCGCTATTTTGCGCTGATATCATAGGTACAGATGGTGATAGTGATCATTTTGGCAAATAATGAAGGTTCCGTGAGGTGCGGAAACTTGTGGAACCTCTTTGTACTGAGATCACTTTTGAAAAAAGCATTTTTTTAGAAAAACGTTAATTTTATTTTTAACCTGAACACATGAGGGACAAATATTTGATAGTGGTAGATAGCCCAAGTTATGCTGGTTCCGAATATACACCCAGATTGGAGCTAAACCCAAATCTACGGGGAGAAAATTAACTCTTTCCAAGTAGCTCGTCCACCTGAATGCCCACTGTGCATAGGGACTAGGGTCCTTAAGTCAAATACATCTTTCAGATTTTTTTATAATTCATCGTTGATTGTATTACGATCACTTGAATATGTTTATACGGTTTCATTCAAGTGTTGTATTCCTAAATTGTTTAATTGAATATACATTGGCATTGAACTGGCTGATGATAATCTTTGTCGATTATGACGATTACCCAACAAAAATGGTATATGATGTAAATAAGAACCAAATATTAATTGTGTAAAGTTAAAATACATTTGTGTATTTAGAATATGTTGATACCATGCTTTATCAATCCATTCTGAAGGTTGACCATGTAGACCATTTTTTATACCTGTATAATAATTTTCTAACTCCAACATTGTGTTCAATGCATCTAATTTATTCATATATTCATGGGTTTGTAAACGTTCATTTATGTACTGAATATCTTCATCGAGTATCCTAACAATTTCATAATTGAAGATAAAGGTGTAAAATAACCAGAATAACGCAACTAAAATCAAAACGCATTTTGAAGGTGACTGAACTGTTTGTATTCAACTAGATGTTACTCAAATGCACAATCTAATCTGTACTCAACCCACGATAGGACTTTTTACAGTTTTGCCGTCATACTATGTGACATGTAATGTGCCCGCAGTTTAAAAATGCAGCACTACCTTAGCTTTTGGTCGAAAGCTACGTATCCAGATACTCCTGGCTACGCTCCGACCATCATTCCGAATATCATCTTTTTTTTCGAATTCGATCAAGTTTTGGGGGAGAAATTCTCAAAATGCTAAGAGCACCGAGAAAACAAAAAATTTGCATCACTCTGAGAAAACTTGAAATTTTCCCTCTTCCGTGATAAAAATAATACAGAAAATTCCCTCTTCCGGTGAAAAGTAGAGTTTTCCAGAAAACCCATAGAAGAACAGGTCAGAAAATTCTGGGCAAAAATACATCGATTTTCTTTTCCGATGTTCTATCTCTGATATAAATTTCATTCCGATCCGACATCGGCTTCCCCGATTTCAAGAGGGTCAGAAAAGGGGGGAACCCTTAACTGCTGTACGTAAACGCGTATTCACTTTATGCTAGCAACAGATTTTAGAACATATTGAAATAGAAACAGTGCTTGTCTTCAGAATGCATTTTCCTCTCATATTATTTCCAAGCTTTCGCGTAGCACGTTATTTAAAGGGAGAAAAAGAGAAAAACTTTCCACTTCATTGTATCTTACCTTTTTGATAATATTTTCAACTGCTATTGCTTATTTGATAAAGTGTACAATTATTTTAGAAAAAGAAAACCCCATCACTAAATCATTCAGTGGTGTGGACGAATCTGGGAAGACTCGTTCAGATAAAATTTTATTGGACTTCCTGGCTGGACGAGAAAGTAGTTTATTTTGCGTAGAAAATTCTTCTCTTTATTCCTATGCTTGTGGGTTATTTTTGCTTGATAGATTTTCTGTATTATTTTTATTCAGAAAATTTGCGTTTACAGATTGCTTTAGTAAGTCAGCTACGATATGTACATATATGTGTGAATGGAAGTTCAACGCATACGTATAAACTGATACAATTTCAGCACAAATTGATTCCCATAATTACTGTTACTAAAATTTGATTATGTATGTAATTCAATGTAAAAAAAAGGAAAACTGTACTTTTTTGTAACACACACTTCGTAACACTATAATGTGTTGTATAGTGGTGAAGTCAAGTTAACATTATTAGCTCGTATTGATTAAAGATAAATTGATATCGGCCCCTTCATTATATTGGGTTAGTTTGATTGTCAAACGCCCTTCGTAAACCACAATACCATCGTTGGTTTGCATATCGGAAGATTTAGCCACAACATCGATAATATGTAAACTACCAGAGAGATAAATCAGTTCCGTTTTTGAACATTGAAATAATTGATTATTCGTTTTACCGGTTACCCACATTTGAGCACCACCACCACTGTTGCTATTATCTTCCATATCTGAAACAAATCTATCACCAACAATCAGCTTATGATCACCTCTGATACGAAGGTGTAGTACTTTCCATTTAAGAAATTTAGCAGTTTTTTGTTTCCCATGTAAAATTTCTAATTTTTCTTTTAGTCTTTTTACATGTGCTCGTTATACTGGCGTAGCTTTTTCCTCAAATGTTTTGAGGCTTGAAAAATTAGAAATTTTACATGGGAAACAAAAAACTGCTAAATTTCTTAAAGAAGAAATTTCAATGCAAATGATACCGA